AGACAACCCCGTAACAATATGCGTTTTGTACTGCTGTTACACAGCACAAAACGCATAAAAACTGAACACAGTGTTAAAAAGTATCGAATTGTCTTTTATGCACACAAAATCACTGTGATATGGAAAAGAAAGAGGAGGAACAGAAGGCTCTCCGCCAGAATTCCAGCTGTTGTTACTGTCATTATTAATAATAATTGCTGTCATTATCATTATTGTCATCATCAATGTAATTGCTATCACTACTGTCATTATTATCACTATTATTTTTCATTATTATTCTATTCTTATTAGCGGACATGGTTCGCTCTAGTGCAAAATACTAAGAATTCGACATCGTCTGTATGCAAATAATCTTTATATGAATGGTTCATTCGCATCAGTAACATAAGCCTGGGATATAAACAGACCAAACAGCCAGCGTCATCTCTACTACTGGCCGTTTGGTTTAGGCACGAGCTACCACTCGGCCTAGTTCTAAGTGCCTTAGCCAATCACAAACAGCAAGTATAGAGGGCTTTTGTCAAAAATTTGACTGTTATTATTATAAATGCATCTTTTGAACGCAGAAGGAACCTTATAATTGAGAAGTCCAGCAACTGAGCGCAATTCGAAAATCTCGCTATCAATAATTTCACACTCAGCGCAATGCTGATAGGCAAGTTTGTAATGCCTGCAGCAATTAAAAACTATAAATTAGTACAGTTGTACTACTGAAAAGTCGAAATCAAAGATTTGAGGGCTCACAGTTTACTGAGAAAAACTTGCGTATAAAACAACGATAACTCAACAAAAGGCTAATAATTATCTGAGGGATACCTCAGTGCTGTGTGCGTATCCTGCCTGAGCTCGGAAATAAATGCCAGTTTGAACTGCTGACGAATGATGAGATTCGGAAAATTATTTGGTATTGATCTGGCACGAACCGATTTCAGACACTGCTGATAGAAAGCCTGCGCTAGCTCATGAAATGCTATTTCGAGCCTAAAAAAAAATGGCTGAAAATTGTAAAATTTGCGAAATGCAGTTTGCAAACAGTTAGCTACACCTGGAACCTGAACATTTTTTTTTGTTGCAATCTTTTATCGGATCATATTACATCATTCCAGAATGAATCGCGCTGTTTCCGAGGTGTAATCCTTCATAAGTTTGTTCACTATTATTGCATGAATCTTGTAAGAATAGCCTAAAGGCATAAAAAAAAGAACTACCACAAGTCAAAATCTTCCAAAAATCCGTTTGTCATGAGGTAAGCACTCGAAATTAGTCCGAGTGTGAGTACGTGCCTCGAAAGAGTAGTCAAAGAGAGTATTTCCAATATTTTTTGCAGTCACTGGCTCCCTCTTTTGGGGATTGGATTAAAAGCAAACCGATGATAGAGTTTTTCTTTTTAATATAACGTCGTAAGGAAGGCCATTTCTATCTATCAGTGACGGAAACAATACGACACTTTTTAGTGGAAAAAAAAAATCATTCACTTTTCAAACAGCCAAGACAGTCACTCTAGTTAATATCAAAACGCACAGATTTCACTAGAATATCTCCGGTACTTGGGCTAAATGCAGTGCCAGCGAAATTCGAAAACTCAAAATTTAGAAGCCTGATATCACAGAGAAGGCTGCATGTTATCAAGATAGTGAGACTCGATCTGTGATATGAGATAAGAAAAATGTCCTTTATTAAAACATGTCCGTAGGAAATATAGTTTGAGAAGAAAATTGCCAGCCTCCATTCTCCCATTCCTCTTCTCCTTCTTCTCACTCTCCTCATCACTTCACCTCTAGAAGTATGCATTTAGTGCAGTTTAAGCGTCACACTAGTTTGATTTCCAGCTTTATATTACGTGATTTTCAAATTTTCTGGTAAATTCTGTGAGTCTATTTGCGCCCCAATGACTGGACAATATGCTAGATTTGGATGAAAAACTTAGCCCCAAGCAGTGCATAATTGAATAATTGGCAGGCTTCAACAAAAGCTGTTAAGATTACAACAACGAAACAGTGACTATTTCAAAGATTTTGGATGAATGCGTCCCGAGAGCACACAATTTAAATCTTTTCATATCACTGCCTAAGTATAAAGGTGAAGTAAATGCATCGGCAGCAAATAGTGAAAAAGTTTGCGAACCTCAGAATGGAGCCGAACATTCGATCACCTATTGGTAAAGCAAATAGCTGTTTCGTGGGAAGCTGACACATCTGGCACAGTTTCGATGCTCGTTCAGTAGCCAACGGATTGTCAATTGTGGAGTTTTGCTGCAACAATACTAGGCAGATGCGTGTGGCCCGATTCCCGATGCTTGTCCTGAAATGCCATATCTGCCTCAATCTGGTCCTAGCAAGCAAGAGATAGCTTCAACACATCTTAATACCAGAATACAGCTATCGCTTTAGCTTATTTAATTAGCGCGCAAATATCTGATAGGCTGAATGTCGGTACGACAGAGAACCATGGAGAACAGTGGACATCGTCTGATCAATCGCTGCACCTATTCCCAGCTAAGCAATGCCCTGATCACAACATCACCTCCAATTTTTCTCAATTATTGGCTATAGGTACCATTAAACACAGATCCAGGAAAATATCACACTTAGCATTTCTTGCAAATTTTGGGTCTTGACCAGCAAGCAAGCATGGGATGCCAATGCTCTGCATCATCTCCGTTTTCGATGTATTGATTCGCAAGGTAACTTCCATATTTTGCACATCCAGCTCTCGAAACAACCCGATTCCAGTTACAATACGCCAAATGGCCTCACTGCAAAGCTACGTTAAAAAGTCCACACCTGATGGAAGAAATTTTCGATTCACATTCCGTGACTTTTTCGTTCCACGACGGATGATCCCAACCCAGATCAGTGAAGAGCACAATTACCGATGGCACCTCATTCACATACTTGTGCAACCATTCCAGTTTTATGAATCCTCGAGAGGAATTTGATGCCTAAACAATTAGAAACCTCAAAATCTGGGATATAGCATATTAGAATTAACAAAGCAAGTAAAACACAACAGGTACCAATGGTTCTGCAGAAGTGTGTGGCGGAGTTTTGCCTAAAATTGAGGCCCGGTTCATTTCGAAGCGCAACAACCGAGCTGGTACGTCTAAGCTTATTTTAGCTATATCCCAGACAATTACAGTGGTTCGTCTTGCTGTGTAAGAGTAGAAAATAAGCTGATGAGAATTTCTGGAAAAATATCGCTTACCCATAATTTGCCTCGAAATTATGATGAAGTAGCAATTTCAACACAAGCTGCCCCTCACTGTCTTTAAATTTAATTGAGTTCAAAACTCATGGCTGGACCCTCAGAAAGAAAGCGGTGCGGGGAGGAGGAGGAAATAGAGGAAGTTTTTCGGCAGATGCTTCTAGTTGAAAGAATTTCAGACTGGCCGCCAGAACTGTCAGGAAACATC